CTTGCATGCTTGACAACATTGCTTGAATGTTGGTGGTTCTATCTCTTTTACACGACACAATTTTCTAATTATGTGTTAATGCTATGTGATAAAAATGCCCTGATTCCTAGTGCCAAAGGTTCTACTTAATGTATATTCTGGAAAACCCATGCAATTGTGCTCTTTTTTAAATGGTGCTTGAAGTAAAACAGCCCAGCCTCTACAAGTCCATCTATGTTGTCCCTCAGGCATTCTTTCTTTGTTCTGATTGTTGAAGGATGGTGGTCTCATGATTTTTGTATTTGAGTCTAATGCACATTCTAACATGATAGAGGCAATGCTTTATTGTGTAGCCACGGTTTTCTGGAGAAGTTGATATTTTAGGAACTGTATTTCAGATATTAAATAAATTTTTTCTAAATTTCAAAGCAAAAAAAAGTTAAAAAAACTGAATCTAGCTGAAACCGTTTTGGCTCAGTGGATAACGCATTAGTCTGTGGACTGAAAGGTCCCAGGTTTGATTCCGGTCAAAGGCATGTACATTGGTTGCAGGCACATCCCCGGTAGGGGGTGTGCAGGCGGCAGCTGGTCAATGTTTCTTTCTCATCGATGTTTCTAGCTCTCTACCCCTTTCCCTTCCTCTCTATAAAAAAAAATCAATAAAATATATTTTTAGCCGAAACCGGTTCGGCTCAGTGGATAGAGCGTTGGCCTGTGGACTGAAAGGTCCCAGGTTCGATTCCTGTCAAGAGCATGTACCTTGTTTGCAGGCACATCCCCAGTAGGGGGTGTGCAAGAGGCAGCTGATTGATGATTTTCTCTCATCGATGTTTCTAACTCTATCTCTCTCTCTTCCTCTCTGAAAAAAATCAATAAAAAATATATATAAAAAAACAAAAAAACAAAAAAAATTGAAAAATATTTAAAAAACCGGAATCTATTAAATAATATATATATATATATTATTTATTTCAAAGAGGAAGAAGGAAAGAGATATAAAAACATCCATGATGAGAGAGAATCATGGATCAGCTGCCTCCAGCAAGTGCCCCACTGGGGAGTGAGCCCACAATCCGGGCATGTGACCTTAACCAGAATCGAACTTGGAACTTTCAGTTCACAGGCCGACACTCTACTCACTGAGCCAAATTGGCTAGGTCTTAAATATAAAATATTTAAGGAAACTAACACTTAATGCTTCATGAAATGGATAAGAGAAATTTGAAGGTCTTCTGAAATCTAAAATTTCTAAAACAAATTGTCCTGAAAAACTAAAAAAATTAAACATGTAGTTTATAAAAAATAGAAAAATTTTGAAATACCAATTTTTATTCAATAATTAAAACTCTGAATAAAATGGCTTAGTCTTATCTTAAAAATTATTTTTGAGCCCTAGCTGGTTTGCTCAATGGTTAGAGCATGGGCCCTCAGCCTGAGGGTAGTGGGTTCAATTCTGGTCAAGGGCACGTACCTTGGTAGGCTCAATCCTGCCCTGATTGGAGTGCATGTAGAAGGCAACCAATCATTGTGTCTATCTCATATCAATGTTTCTGTCTCTATCCCTCCTTTCCACTCTCCCTAAAAATCAATGGAAAAAATATATCCTTGAGTTAGGATTAACAAAATATAATAAATTATTTTTGAAAAACTAATTTTTTGAAGACCTAAAGATATACAATTCATTTTATTTTTTTATTTTTATTTTTTAAATATATATATTTTTTATTGATTTTTTAGAGAGGAAGAGAGAAATAGAGAGAGAGAAACATTGATCAGATAGAATCATCCACTAGCTGCCTCTTGCACACCCTCTACCGGGGATGTGCCCGCAACCAAGGTACATGCCCTTGACCGGAATCGAACCTTTCGGTCCACAGGCTGATGCTCTATCCACTGAGCCAAACCAGTTTCGGCTATACAATTCATTTTAATGAATCACTGAATGAAGTGGTTTAAACTCTATAGGATTTTTGCTTTTGTTTTTTATTTTTAAAAGTGTATGTTTTTTATTTTTCAAATATATTTTATTGATTTTTTACAGAGAGGAAGGAAGAGGGATAGTTAGAAACATCTATCAGCTGCCTCCTGCACGCCCCCTACTGGGGATGTGCCTGCAACCAAGGTACATGCCCTTGACAGGAATCGAACCTGGGACCTTTCAGTCCGCAGGCCGATGCTCTATCCACTGAGCCAAACCAGTCAGGGCTAAATTTTTGTTTTTAAAATAAACTTTTAAACATTTCTAGAAAAAACAAATAATTATGAAATTAAAAAAAAAACTGGCTAATTTTTAACATAAAAAACTAATCATAAATAATTAAAAAGAAATAATAGAGAACATTAACAAAATAAATTATGTGCTATTTGGGAATACCTAATATCATATAAGGATAATAATAAGAAAAATAAAGATAATAACATACCTTTTAGTTTAGCAGAAAAGTTAGGGAGAAGAAATTCAAAGAAACTATTTTGTATGCACCCATGAAGATTTCATGATACAGAAATCATGACTAAGGAGCAATTGCCTTTTCTGGGCTGGATGTCTGGGAAGGCCTGACAGGCCCTCGGGACAGCCACAGAGAATCTTCTGGGCTTCCCAGAAAAAGAATCCCCAAGTTCAGGAAGTTTGCAGAGGGAGCTATGTAAAAAAATACCGGCAGTGCCTTAGCCAGTTTGCTCAGTGGAGAGAGCCGCAGGCTGTGGATGGAAGGGTCCTGGGTTCTATTGCGAACACGGGCAGGTAAGTCGGTAGCAGGCTCAATCACTGGCGTTGGTTGGGGTGCATGTGAGAGACAACCAATTGATGTGTCTCTCTCACATCGATCTTTCTCTGTCTCTCCCCTTCCCTTCCACTCTCTCTAAAAATCAATGAAAAAAATATCCTAGGGTGAAGATTAACACAACAACAAAAACTTTTAGCTGCTTCTGAAAAGCTGTTTTTAAAAGGCCTTCATCATTCCATTCTGGCGATAAAGCAGTGACAAGCATAGTGGGGTAGAGCCTCCGGGTCCCATTTGGTGATAAGCCTGGAGGGGAAAGCCCCTGGAGGTCCCTCCGGTTGAAGAGACCAAACTTGGACTATGTAATGAGACCGTGTTTAATAACGCCAAAATACAAGCGAGGGCTGTCGGGTCTAAGAGGAAAGGGGAGGGGTGAGGGCTGCAGCGACCTGGGGTGGTGGGTAAGCAGTGACACTGCTTCCAGCACCTTTCCCCTCACAGCCTTTCAAGAGTCCTGAAGGGACACAGAGCAGGACTGATTTTTTTTACAGTTGGAGAAACTGAATTCCAAATAAGCTCACTGGCTTATCCAAAGCCACACAGGTTCCTGGTCCTTTCTTCAGCCCAGTGTGGTCTAGCTCAGAGGAGTGTGAGGAGGTGGACACCACAAGAAGAGCAAGCACAGTATACAGATGGGCAGGGATGTGGTATGTACGAACACTGGGGGTGGGGGACTGGCAGGAGGGCAGTAATCCTTGGCACCTGCAGCCCAGCTGCTGCAGCACGGTCACTTGGGTGTCTGCTTCTCCCCTCTTCCCTCCTGGGTGCCCAGGCCCTCAGGACCAGCTGAGGGAGGTCATAGGGCAAGAGGGCTGCTCCTTGCAGTGTTCACTGGTCAAGCTTTCCTTGGCACCTACTGTACACGAGTCCAGTGCAGAACCAGGCAGGGCAAGGTGGAAGAGGAAGGTGGCAGCTACATCACACTATGTAGCCCATCACAGTGCTGCGAGGGGAACACAGAGGGAACACACGTGCCATGCAGAGGGGCTCGCACTGAAGGTGCCGTGTGGGCAGGGAGCTAAGGAGGGTGCAGACCTGCTACACGGACTTGTGGGGAGGACTGGATGAGACCAGCATGACATGATGAGGAGTCTGGACGGGATCCTGGGAACCAGGTCACTGCAGCGACGTGGAGGAGAAATGGGGCCACCACAGAGACTGCAGGAGAACTCAGGAGGCTCTGATGGTGAGGAAGAGAACTGGAGAAGGCTCTGTGGTCCAGGCTTCTCCAGGCAGGCCCCTGAAATGGAGCTGGCTGGTTTGAGGTCAGAGGCCCTCCCCTAGTCATCTTGGGAGGCCTCTCAAGAGTGAGTTCACAGCGAGGCCCAGAGGAAGCTTCCGACTCTGCAGAAACATAAGAACATATGATGTCCATTCTGGTCCTTCATCCCACTGGCCCTTAGTCCTCCCTTGGGAGGAGCCCAGAGCTCAGCACAGATCCTCCCCAACCTCTTTCACCTTGTGGTTAACTGTCCAAGAGGCAGCCCCAGGAGGCCAGCATGGGAAGGAGGAAACTGGATTAGAAGCCCGAGGCAGATGCTCCTGCCAAGAAAGTCTCCAGGTGCCGACACTGGTTTGGCTCAGTGGAGAGTGTCGGCCTGCGGACTGAAAGGTCCTGGATTCGATTCCGGTCAGGGGCGTGTGCCTTGGTTGTGGGCACATCCCCAGTAGGGAGTGTGTAAGAAGTGGCTAATTGATGATTCTCTCTCATTGATGTTTCTAACTCTCGATCCCTCTCTCTTCCTCTCTGTAAAAAATCAATAAAATATATAAAAAATAGAAAAAAAGAAAAAAGAAAGTCCCCAGGGCACCTGTGTCTTCTCAGGACCAACACACTTCTGGAGAACCACAGCAGCAAGGCAGGCAGGAGGCTGCAGAGCCTTGCACAGAAGCCATGCAAAGAGGCACCAGCAGGGGGTGCCACAGCTCCACACTTGGCAGCCGGTTCCTTTTGCCTTTCCAGTCCTGTCTCCACCATGAAGGGATTAAGGATCAGGGGCTGCAAGTGATAGTCCCTGCTAGGTCTTAGGCACAGGATGGCCCCTCAGAGGAGAGCCAGGGCCTGAGACCAAGGTGGAGGCAGGTCCTGTCTAGCCCAGCATCAGGGCCCAGCTGCACCCCAATGCTGCCTATGCATGCGGTGAGGGTATCTTCACTAACTGCCTCTTCCCTAAAGAGAGAGCCGGCCACCCCACCGCCCACCCCCATGGCAGCTCCGTCACCATCAGCACAGGCCTGTCAGCAGGTGTCGGGGTCCTGGAAGCCCCAGGCCTCCACGGCAGCGATGAGGAAGTTCTCAGAGCAGAGGGGCTGGTTGTTGAAAGTGTCGCAGTGGCCCGTGCGGCCCCGATTCAGGTCCCCGTCGATGTAGAGAGCCTGGCCGCCCCCTCCACCTGCAGGATGCTCAGTCAGTGGCTGCCCCTGTCTGGTACTGCCCGGGAGGTGCTCTTCTCCTGCCCCGGAGCATCTCCACTTGTCCCTGCCCCAGGCTTCCTAGAGGCCTACAACCACAGGGCCGACCTTCAACCCTCCAAAAGCCTGTCAACCCTCAGGCCAGGTTCAAACTCTAGGCTAGAAGCCCACTTCCCAGCTGGTTTACCCAGAGTACCTGCCCCTACTCCCACTCCTCCTGCCTGCTTTCTTCCTCTGACATCACGGGGGCTCTGCCTGTCCTCCTGAGTTAGCAATGACTGACCCAGGGGCTCTGGCCACCCATGCCCCCGTCCCCTTCTCCAAGGCTAAGTGACACCAGCCTTGAGGTGAAGGGAGATACCCACCGATGATGAGGCAGTCACAGCCCCCAGCCATGAACATGGACTCAGTCTTGGAGGGCAGGTTGAAGTGCCGAGTGGCCAGGAACGGTGAGAGGCGGTCAGCGGGGTCTGAGGATGAGGACAAGGACATGGCGTGGCAGTGCCGGGACGCAGCGGCAGTGCTCTCCAAGGACATTGGCTTAGTCAGCTCTGGGTGTTTGATGACCACCCACTCGTAGCGCTGGACCTCCGGCTGCAGCTGAAGATGAAAGGGCAGTATGAGGAGCTGGCACACTGCCCTGCAGGGCCCTCTGGCCTCTTTCCTCCCACAAATCATCACTGAAGAGATCTGTGTACGAGGCCGCCTGCCAGGGCTGAGGAGACAGTGCCGCACAAGGCAGGACAGGGCCCGCCTGCTCCCATGGTCTAATGATCACAAACCAGAAGAAAACGGGGAGGTTATCCTACAGGGTGAGCAGGGGTGATAGGGTGCTGGGCCTGTTGATCTTAGAGTACCTACAGGGGAACCCACTCACCCTAAACACAAAGCATTCTCCGGTCCCAAAGAAGCACAGTTTGCCTCCAAACTTATTTCTCTCGCTCCAGTCTGTTGACAGGTAAGCTCCACACACCTGGGGAGAAAGGCCCACGGTGAGGCTGCATCCTGCTGGCCTGCAGGAGCATGCCTGTGCTCAAGGCCTGCTGAGGGGCCATGGCACCATCACTGCTTGTTGCCACTGAACCCTCCAATCCCACTTGAGGGCAAGAGCTGCAGAAGGTGAAGAGAGGTGTGGGAAGCCAGAGTTTGGAGGGCGTGGGGCTAGCAGTGACAGTGGGGGTGAGGGGGTGGCTGTCATCAGCTCGTTTGGGATATTTTCATTTTGTTTCCCTCCTTGGCCCTTGAGCATGGGAAGAGCCCCATGTCCACACACTGATGTTGGGCATCAGCCCCAAGCAGGCCCCTCAGATGAGAGCTTCCAGGAAGTACGCCTGCTCACCAGCATTCTCCAACCCCGTCAGCCAGCAAAGCGCTTGATTTCACCATTAAAGTCAAGTCCCCTAGTGGCTGCAGAGTCTTCCCCAAGTGTCTGACAGTCAGTCACCTGCTACGATATAGATGCCCAGGTTCCTCCTGGAAACCCAGACACAAAGTCTGGAATGGGAAGAAGAACCTAAAACTCCCATGGGTGCAGGTTTGGGAGACACTTGAACAAGGAGCTTCTACGGCCCTGGCCGGTTTGGGTCAGTGGATAGAGCGTCAGCCTGCGGACCAAAGGGTCTCAGGTTCAATTCCAGTCAAGGGCACATGCTTGGATTGGGGGCTCAATCCCCTGTAGGGGGTGTGCAGGAGGCAGCCAATCAATGATTCTCTGCCATCATTAATGTTTCTCTCTCTCTCTCCCTCTCTTCTTCTCTGAAATCAATAAAAGCATTATATATATATATAATGTTTATATATATAATGTTTATATATAATATAATATGTATATAATATAATATTATATATATATATATATATATATATATATATATATATATAGCACAAAAACCTCAAGTGAAATGTTTAAAAAAAAAAAAAAGCCTCTACCACTGGCAGACACCCCCAGGATGGGGGCACATGAGCGCTGACCTCCCTATCCTGGTAACTTTCCAGGGGGCAGGCACTGTAGCAAAAAGGGCCCTGTTAGGGGGTGGAGGCAGGCGAAGGTCCACTGCGGTGGGAGGAGCGGGGCCTCACTCACTAAGCATTGCTGCAATGGTCCTCCTAAGTAGCCAGGCTGTTTCAGCAGGGCCTGGACCCTCAGGGGAAACAAGGAGGCCCTGGGGACTTGGGGGTCAGACAGGGAGGCTAGATTCACTTCGTGTGGAGGGTGGCTCTGCTCCGTGCCCCTAAGTGCAGGAATGCTGGGTGGAGGCTGTAGGGGCACAAGAGCTCAGAGTCCCCAAAACTCAGAGGCCAGAACCCCAGGCTCCCTCTGGTCCCTGCTCACCTCCTTTTGTGTGGTCTTAATGAGCAGGAGGGTGGGCTCGTGTCCTTCACACTGGAAATAGAACCTGGGGGAAGAGACCACACGTGCCAGTCCCGATGGGAAGCAGTTCTCCTGAACCCCTTCCCTGTACCACCTCTAGCCAGCTTTTGCTGACCAGCACTCACAGCGTCTGAGCAGCCTGAACTGCTAGGGGCAGACGGGCCTCGGGACTGCATTTCCTCGTCTCCTGGGGACCAGGCACTGTGGCCAAGGACCTAGCAACACTCTGGACTGGGCACTCTTCTAAGTCAAGATGGAGCTCCCCCTGGGTCTGGAGGACTGTCTGCCCCAGGGTGAAGCATGGCCAATACCTCCCAGCAGGAAGAGCTGTGTGTCAGGTGCTTCAGAAAAGCAAAAACGAGAGGAACAGGTCCCTGCTCTAAAAAAGCTCAGAGTCCAAGCATGTGGGAGCCTGCTGGCACTGGGAAGCATGTGAGGAAGCCTGAGGTTGCCACTGTGGTGGCTCCAGGGGCCCAGCGCTTGGCCGGCAGCCCTGGCAGCTCCATTTAGCCGACCCTAAATGTAGCCCTGGCTGTGCCTAAATGCCCATGGAGCTACAGACAGCCCCCACCACGTGGGCTGGGCCAACTCTGCCTGTGCTGCGTCTGTTGGGTCACCTGTGACCCAAGCCAGAGCGTCTGAGGCTCAAGGGAGTGCTGACCCTGACGGAGCTGCCAGGGAGGCAGTGTGCCCTGGGGAGGCCAGCAATACCCGAGCCCCACAGAGCCAACCTGTTCCTGGCTTGTGGACTGACAGGGTGGGGGTGGGGAGAACTGAACCGCACAGCCTGTTGCCTTGAGTCGTCCTCTCTTATAGTTCTGTAAGCTCCTGTGTCATCACAATGCCTACAGGAGGACGTGGAGCTGTGGCGTGTATGGTAATGACCGACCCCTGAATTTGGGTGGCCTGGAGTGAGAGAAGCCCAGAAAAGGGCTTCCCAATTCCAGGGCCCCGAGCAGAGGCAGGGCCTCACCAGGTGCCAAGGTTCACAGGCCCATTGTCAGTGTGACTTCCTGGAAGCACAGACAGAACCAGAAGCTGGACAACTTCACCACTCCCTCTGCCCCCGCCCCCCCCCCCAGCACCTGACCCTGAGAGTCCATGCTTTGGGGCCTCGGAGGGCAGGCCCACCTCCCCAGTCTCCCAGCATTACCTACTCAGGCTGTACCCATGCTGCAGTGAGGAGAAGAGCAGGAGGGGCTGACAGAGGGCGAATCGCTCAGGGATCCAGGACCAGATATCTCTCATCTCCTTCACACTGACAATCTCCGAGTGAAAGTTCTCCGCGTGAACAGCCAAGTGCACAAACTGCCTGGGGAGAGCCAGGAGAGATTCAGAGCACACCTGCAACCCCAGGCCTGCCCATACCCCCTACCCTGAGGGTGTGCATTGGATCTCTTGAAAGCTAAGCCTGGAGGGAACTTCTCACCTGTGCAGCCTGGTCCAAGGTACCCTCAGGAAGAAACAGGGTGGAGCTGTCCCCTGGAGCCCCACTCCCATTCCTCCTTACTAAGAGAGGAGAGCACCCAGCCCAGACAAGGACAAAAGCACCTTTTCTCTAAGAAATGGGATAGAAGGTGAATCAGCTCTAGCAAGACACTGCTCAAGGCCAGCCAAGCACGAGCAGAGAGCACAGCTGAGCAGACAGACAGACAGACAAAAGAACAAACACCAGTCAGGCTCCAAGGCAGCACTTCTGAAGCAAGCCCTGAGAGCCAGCACAAGCAGCCAGGCCCCGGGATAGCCAGGCCAGAAGACAGTGAGAATCCAGGCATGGAGATGTGGTTTCCAGACCTACCTTTTAGAAAGTGAAACACTGAAAAACAGGAGGAAGCAACGGACATGGAGAAGAGGAAGAAAAATAAAACAGACAAGGAGAGGTTAGTAGCAAGTACTGAAGTCTAGGACATGCCTGCCTTTGGCCTGGAAGAAAGGCCTTCACACTGACAGTCATGTCATCTGCCACTGAGACAGTATCAGGACACCCTGGGCCCTTCCCATCCCTGCTCCCCAGGGGTCTGAGTTCAGGGCAGGGGGCATGTCCAGCAGCAAGTGAGCCCAGAGCTGGAGGGGTAGAAGAAGGGCCGCTGTGAAATGACCAGAGGCAAAAAACAAAAACAAAAAAGACCAGAGGCAGCCAGTCTGGCCCACTCTTTGGTCTTCTGACCACATGGTCAACACCCAGCTTTCATCTCCACCATGGGCCGTAGGCCTGAGGACAGTAACCTGTGCCTTTCATCCCCACAGCTGCCTCAGCAGCCCGTGGCTATAACCAGGCAAGTCCTCTCTCTTTTCCTATCCATGTACAGATGGCTGGCTGGCAGTAGGCAGACCAAGAGGCTGGCAGGACAAGCTCATGCCCAAGTCCCCAGGATGTATGCCACCGCAGCCCCACCCTACGGGGCCCCTCGCAGCCTGCCCGGAGGCCAGCCTACCTCTTCTGCTTGACGGTGATGCCCTTCTGCTTCAGAGCTTTCTCGTTGGCCATCTGCAGAAGCTGAATCTCCTTCCGAGAGAAGAGGCGGATGGCGAATGCTTTCTCCAGCAGCTTCTCAGGAGACACGGTCTTGGCGATGTCCTTGACGAAAGCGCGGATGTCCTCCTTCACGTTATCCGACTCCAGTGGCTGTCCAGCTCTCACCTTGTGGAAGAACTTGAGGATTGCCAGTGCAACGCGGTACAACACCTTGTAGCCTTCCACTAGGAAGACATCGAAGACACGCGCGAAGTAGCTGAGGGGAAGCTCCCCGAACAGCCAGCGCTGCCAGTCCGCGTAGACCTGCAGGACGTCCTCCGACACGGCCACCATCAGCTTGTGGGCTGCCTGACAGTACTTGTTCACCAGGTCCCCAAAGGTCATGCAGGAAGACTCAAAGGCCAGAAAGCTCTGGTCGATCAGCTTCTTGCTGGGGTCGTTGCAAGCCAGGATGCGGCAGGTCTTCTCGAAGCACTCGGCTTCGTCGATGCTGTAGTGCAGCAGCAGGGCCACCACCGCCGGCAGAGCGGGGCAGAAGGAGATGTCGGGGAACTGGTTGGCGATGCACAGCAGGATCTTCCGCACAGCACCCTCGCCCCGTGTGTTCAGGCAGTAGCTGGGCACTTGCGTGTTGTCGACAAACTCAGGCAAGGGCAGGGTGCTGCTGCTGTGCTTGCCCACAATCTTGCCCACAATGTCACTGTACACGCTGGCATCGGGCGTGACCGTGCGGCAGGGGATGTCCCGGATCAGGCGCTGGTACACCTTCCCCCGCAGAGCGTGGCTGTTGGCCCAGTAACCCTGGCGGGCCAGCTGCTTCAGGTCTTGCAGCTCAGTGCAGCTCAGCTCCTTGGGTCCCAGGTCCTGGATGGCAGTGTCCATCTTGTCTCTGTCCACAAAGCAGTTGTACCCGTGGGAGTCCATACTGCAGGCTGCACCTGGGGGGAGGGCCCTGGGCTGCCAGGAGGGGGCAAAGAGCAGCTAAATCCTCCAGCCACCTGTGGAGGCTTTTCTGCTAACCTGTTTGCCACCCCATGCCTTGTAGGATTAAAAACCATTCGTAGCCGCAACCGGTTTGGCTCAATGGATAGATAGAGCGTCGGCTTGGGAACTGAAGGGACCCGGGTTCGATTGCGGTCAAGGGCATGTACCTTGGTTGCGGGCATATCCCCAGTAGGGGGTGTGCAAGAGGCAGCTGATCGATGACTCTCTCTCTCATCGATATTTCTAGCTCTCTATCTCTCTCCCTCCCTCTCTGTACAAAATCAATAAAATATATTAAAAAAAACATTCGTAATACATGTGTATAAAGGTTCTCATTTTAGAGAATATGTTTTTGTTTGACTGTATAAAGTATTACAACGGCTCCATTTAAGATAGGTGGGTATTCTGAGGATTCACTATGAACTCTGGAGTATAATGTCTTTTCATGGAGCTTATCAGGTTATTGTAATAGGTCTCACATATTATAAATATCAAGAGGCTAGAAACAGCCGAAACCAGTTTGGCTCAGTGGTAGAGCGTCGGTCTGCGGACTGAAAGGTCCCGGGTTCGATTCCGGTCAAGGGCATGTACCTTGGTTGCGGGCACATCCCCGGTAGGGGGTGTGCAAGAGGCAGCTGGTCGAAGTTTCTCTCTCATCGATGTTTCAAGCTCTCTATCTCTCTCCTTTTCTCTCTGTAAAAAAAAAAAAAAAAATCAATAAAATATATTAAAAAAAAAAAAAAAAAAAAAAGAGGCTAGAAACAAGTTCCTGGAAGGGCTTCAAAAGAGAGCCCGACAACAACTCTCAGTGAGGGGTCCCAGGCCTAACAGGCTCCCACACACCACCATCCTGTGGCCTGTGGGCCTTATGGAAGGGTCTACTGGTTAAGGAGACCTATTTAAGTCAAGATATGCTCTGTTCCATTCAGTTCTCAAGGGTTTCAGGCCTTTAACCAGCTGTGTATCATGAGGAAGGCATACCCTACTCTGCCCCACTGTCCCTGGGTTAGAATTCAGAGGCCAGCTCTTAACCTTCTAAACATGCTAGCTAGGTTTTAGGAAGGTTCTCCAGAGGAGAAATACTAGTGAGGAGTAGACATCAGGGCTAAGAAATAAATAAAGCTGTTACAGCTTCAAAATTAGACTTCTTGTTTGTTAATCCTCATCCAAGGAGATATATATATATATATATATATATATATATATATCACTATTTTTTATTTTCTATTGACTTCAGAGAGGAAGGGAGAGGGAGAGAGAGATAGAAATATCAATGATGAGAGAATCATTGATCAGCTGTCTCCTGTAAGCCCCCTACTAGGGATCAAGCCCACAACCTGGGCATGTGCCTTTGACTAAAATCAAACCCAGGACCCTTCAGTCTGCAGGCCGACGCTCTATCCACTGAGCCAAACCAGCTAGGGCCCGAGGATATTTTTCCCATTGATTTTTAGACAGGGGAAGTGAAGCGGGTGGGGTGGGGGGTAGGGGAGAAAAGCATCTATTTGAGAAAGACACATTGATTGGTTGCCTCCTGATTGGGGCTGGCGATCAAACCTGTAACTCAGGTACATGCCCTTGACTGGGAATTGAACCTGAGACCCCTCAGCGTGTGGGCCAATGCTCCAACTGAGTCACACTGGCCAAGGCAAAATTAGACATTTTTATATGCAAATGAACCAGAAGTACTGGGGGATTTGACCCTGTCTCTCCATTTGAGGCAACTATTGAAATTCAGGCAGACATTTAAAAACGGAGAAAATGTGCTATGTGAGTCTCTGGCTGATAAATCACTGCAGGTGAACAGCAAGACAGGAGTCTATGTTGAGAATACCACGATTTAACAGTTTTTGCTAAAGGCTACTGTCCTTGGCCTTTACCATAGCTGCTCATGTACCTCAGACTAACCTTTCTGCCTGTGCTGGTGGAAGTGTCTGGAGATGTCGCAAGGGTTTGCTTCAGTGAGTTCTGGTAAATGACCAGACCATTCCAGTTTCTCTTGAATCTAGAACATTCATCTGAAAATATAGAAAGCAAAAAATGTCGTAAGAACATTGAGTGGAAAGTAAAGAATTATAGTGTAAGACTTGTATTGTGAGAAGATATCTTAAGAAAGCACTTTGATACTTTTTTGTGGTAAAATATACATAAAAATTTACCATTTACAAGTGTATAGTTCAGTAGCATTAAGTACATTCACACTGTTGTTTGTGCAACATCACCACCACCCATTTCCAAAATCTTTTCATCTCCCCAAACTGAATGCTAACTCCTCACTCCCCCTTCACTTGGCAACCACCATTGTAATCTCTGTCTCTAAAAATCTGACTATGCTAAATACCTCATATTAGTAGAATAGTACAATATTTGTTCTTTGTGTCTGGCTTATTCACTGATCATAATGTCCTCAAGGTTCATCTATGTTTATAGCATGCATCAAAAAAATTTTTCAATATATTTTTATTGATTTCAGAGAGGAAGGGAGAGGGAGAGAGAGATAGAAACATCAATGGTGAGAGAGAATCACTGATTGGCTGCCTCCTGCACACCCCCTACTGGGGATGGAGCCTGCAACCCGGGTATGTACTCTTGACCAGAATCAAACCCGGGACCCTTCAGTCTATAGGCTCTATCCACTGAGCAAAACTGGCTAGGGCAACACTTCATTTTTTAAAGCAGTTTTAGGGTCACAGCAAAATTAAAAGAAAGATACAGAGACTTACCATATACCACTTCCCCCACATATGTATAGCTTCCTCCTCCTCACCATGCCCAGTCCCATTTGGCTCAGTGAATAGAACGTTAGCCCATGGACTAAAGGGTCCTGGGTTTGATTCTGGTCAAGGGCATGTATTGGTTGCAAGCTCAATCCCCAGCCCTGGTCAGTGTGTGGGGCAGGCAACCGATCTATGTGTCTCTCTCACATCAATGTGTCTCTGACTCTTTCTCTCCCCCTCCCTTCCATTCTAAAAATTAATGAAAAAAATATTCTTAGGTCAGGATTAACAACAACAAAAAAATCCCCCACCATGAGTAATACATTTGTTATAATTAATGAACCTACACTGACACATTATAATCACCCCAAATCTACAGATTAATGAAGGCTCACTCCTGGTGTTATTTTAAAATATATATATTTTATTGATTTTTTTTTACAGAGAGGGAGAGGGATAGAGAATTAGAAACATCAATGAGAGAGAAACATCGATCAGTTGCCTCCTGCACACGCCCTACTGGGGATGTGCCCAAAACCAAGGTACATGCCCTTGACTGTAATTGAACCTGGGACCCTTCAGTCTGCAAGCCGATGCTCTATCCACTGAGCCAAACCAGTTAGGGCTCACTCCTGGTGTTATACATTCTTTGTGTTTGGACACATGTAAAATGACATATAGTCTCATTACTGTATCATATGGAGTATTTTAACTGCCCCAAATCCTCTGTGCTCTACCTGTTCATCCCTGTCCCTGCCCCCATTTATCAGATTTTCATTCCTTTTTATAGCTAAATAACATTCCATTATATGAATAGAGTATAATTTGTTTATCCATTCACCTGCTGGTAGACATTTGGGCCATTTTCACATTTTGGCAATATAAATAATGCTATTGTGAACATGGGTATGTAAGTATCTGTTCAAGTCCCTGTTTGCAATTCCGTTGGATATACAGTATATCCATTGATACTGTGCTTTCCCACAGAAAACATTAATTAAAATAAGTTTTTCTGACAACATCCATTTAATATATCCCACTAGAAAGGCTTCACCCACAGTAGAACCAGGCCTGCTGCCAGTGCTGGGACCTTCTTCCTCAGAAGAAAAAACACCCAAATTGGGGTTGATTTGTTTGCTCTGTTCGGGGGGAAAAAAGGCAGTGAATATTTCCTTCTTCCCATGTTCTGAAGATCAGGCCAATAGGCCCACTCACACACCCACGACCATGACCAGGCTGCACTCCACAATCTTCCAAGTGCAAATCACCCATAGCCTTTAAATCCTTCATTCTAGGCTCTGAGCCCACGAACCTCTGGAGGGACCCCAGGCCCATCCTGTTTGTGTGAAAAGAACCAGCTCCTTATCGGGGCAATAAACATGTTTATAAACAGAACAAGAGCAGGGCAGGACAGCACCAACCCTTACTCAACTGGCCTCAGATTCGGGTTGAATATTAAACTGGAAACTCCAAAAGTGATTATCGCACCTTGCAAAGCTCCTTCAGACAGGACCCACAGTTCCGTTTGTTGCAGCAAGCTGCCCAGAGACACAGTGGATTCAGAGGGACTGAGGAAAGACCACGGGCAGGAGACCCTGAAGGAGCTTCCAGGACCCCGTAGGCTCCTCCCCAGCCTCCCTCCAGCGAGAGAACATGCTGTTTCTGGGGCAGGACAAACAGGCTCACAGTGACCTCTTAGGCGTCTATAAAACCAGGTCCGGGATGGTTTTCTTAGGTTCCTTTTTACACAAATGCATAATCATAAAAAGTCAAAGAGTACACAATTACAGAGTAAAAATGTAAAATCCTGTTCTTCCCTTAATTCTTACTCCCTCTTCCACTTAAGATTATCAACCACTGCTCACATATTATATCCTACAAAGCCTTTTCTTCTTCTTCTTTTTTTAAAAATATATTTTATTAATTTTTTTTACAGAGAGGAAAAGAGAGGGATAGAGAGTTAGAAACATCAATGAGAGAGAATCATCGATCGGCTGCCTCTTGCGCACCCCCTACTGGGGATGTGCCTGCAACCAAGATACATGTCCTTGACCGGAATCGAACCTAGGACCTTTCAGTCCGCAGACCGATGCTCTACCACTGAGCCAAACCGGTTTCGGCCAAAGCCTTTTCTTATATTTACATGCATATTCACAGCTGACTTAGATTTTCAAGGCTGGCTACTGAGACGGGGAACTCAGGAGGTGGGAAACAGATAAAAAACAAAACCATTCCATTAGATACTCACACTCTGGAGCTTACATAAGTTTTAGGGTTGAAGTGATGCTCTCTCCCTGTTATTCCACCTGCAGCATGCAGCCATCATACAGCACTGTCTACACCACCTGCTTCCCAACACCAAACATGGCTTCACCTGTCCTCCACAGTCCCCCAGCTCCTGACAAAGGTCAAGGGAGAGGGAGGCAGGAGCACAAGTGGGAAATGATCCAGTCTCAAGTCGGACAAGCCTGGCTTCTAAGTCCAGCTCTGCCACTTGTTTGCCTAAACCTCAAGCAAGCCATGGCTCTTTCCTGAAAGGCAGGTGCCTGTCTGTAAAACAGAGCTGACTGCTGAAACCAGTTTGTAGTTCTGGGTAATGTCCATTTTATATTTTAGTTGTATAATATTTTATTGAAATTGTTGTGTGCGGCTGCGGTTAGATGTTTACCTGTGCAGCCATCTTGGATTCTCTCCAGAAACCGGTTTGGCTCAGTGGATAGAGCATCGGCCTTGAAAGGTTCCAAGTTTGATTCTGGTCAGGGGCATGTACCTTGGTTGCGGGCACATCCCAAGTGGTGGGTGTGCAAGAGGCAGCTGATTGATGATTCTCATCGATGTTTCTAACTCTCTATCCCTCTCTCTTCCTCTCTGTAAAAAATCAATAAAATATATATTTTTAAAAAACAAACAAACAAAAAAACCCCAGAGCTGACAAACACAATCTGCCTCACCATCATCAGTCCCCATGCAGCACCTAAGGGCTCAGCTCTTACTTGGGGCTCACTGGCTGGGGTGTGGGTGACATCCCTCTCTCATTTCCACTCAACCCTGCCCAGGCAGTGCAGGGCAGGCAGCCAGCAGGGCCCTGCCAGCAAGTGCACTTTCCCTCGGACTCAGAGTGGGAGGAAGGAAACAAATGGTTTCTCACTATAAACACTGCACTCACCTAAAGGTTACCCCCCAAGTTCACTTCACAGGAATGGGGTGGGGTAGGGTTAGTTCTCTGAGGTGGGAGGGGGCTGGCCCCAGCTGTCTGGAATATAGGGAAGTACCTCTGACCCTTGAACAATACAGCTTCCAATTGTACAGTTCCACTTATACAAGGATTTTTTTTTCCAGTATTGTAAATGTGTTTTCTTTGCTTTTTTTATTTCTTTAAATAAATTACAGGAAGATCCCAAATTTATTTATTATTTTTTTGAAATTAATATATTTTTATTGATTTCAGAGTGGAAGGGAGAGGGAGAGATAGAAATATCAAGGATAAGAGAGATCTAGGGGACCGAGCCCACAACCCAGGCATGTGCTCTCGACCGGAATCAAACCTGGGACCAACCCTTTAGCCTGCTAGCCGATGCTCTAGCCACTGAGTCAAACCAGCTAAAGCTAAATGTATTTTCTTAATACTACTTTCTTTTCTCTAGCTTACTTAATTGTAAGAATAGAGTATATAAATATATTTAACATACAAAAATATGTGTCAATCAACTATGTAAGGCTTTTAGTCAACAGTAGGCTATTAGTAAAGTTTTTTTGGAAATCAAAAGTTATATGTGAATTTTCAATTGCACCATGGGTCCCCTGATCCTCTCTTCAAGAGGGCCCCTTAATCCCCATGTTGTTCAAAGGTTACCTGTATTTTGTGTCTTTGTCCTCAGCTTTAGGCCTGGCCTGCACTTCTGGGAAAAGGGGAAAAATTCAACTCATCCAGGAACTGCAGACAGTGATCATTTCAGATAATGGGGACACCAACCACATAGCCTGTCTGCAGGGTGGTGGGTACTTTAGCTAGGGTCGTTAGGACAAACCTCTCCCAATTTGAGCTTAAGCTTAAATGATGAGAAGGAAGCAGCCAGAAGAGCTGAGAAAAAGTCACTCTGGACAATGAGAAGAGCAAGTGCAAAGGCCCTGAGGCAGGAACAAGCCTAGTAGTGTGCTCTGGGGAAAATAAGGGCAGAGCACAGTGAGCAAGAACATGAGCAGCAGAGATACCCACGGCATGGATCATGCACAGGGAGAGATTTGAATTGTATTATAAGCTCAGAGGGACTCAGAGTGGGAAACAGCGAAGGGATGTGATT